TTGTACAGCCAAAGACTTGATATAGCCTTTGCTAAAGGCCACCTTCTCAGTCTCACATCTAAAAGCAGAAAAACTGAAAGGTTCATTCTCTTAGTCTTTCCTTTCTTTTGCCTGAAATGAAATTAAATATTTCAAGTAACCCAAACTTTAGAAAAACAAAAGCACATGCTCAAACCCCTTTCTCAGGCTCCTGTTCTAAGTGATGAGTCAGTTATTTTCTAGCTGTCAATTAAAGAGCAACTTTAAAATGACCTCTACCTCTGAAGTTCAGCTTTTATTCTGAACTGTTTCTACTGTATCCTGAGAGCATAATGGAGGGAATAGACCCAAGAAAAATGGCTAGATTTCCCTTCTAAGTTTTCTTTACAGCTGTCCATACACTTGTACACTCCATACACCTGCACTGCCCATGCACCTGCACAGTCCACACACCTGCACACTCGTGCACCTGCACAGTCCATATACCTGCACACTCCATGTGCCTGCACACTCTGTACACCTGTGCATCCCATACACCTGCACACTCCATATACCTACATCGTCCATACACCTTACTGGCCATACACAGTTCATACACCTCACTGTCCCGACACCTGCACTGGCCATACACCTGCACTGTGTTTACACCTGCACGGGCCATACACCCGCACGCCCCTTCCTGCCCATACACAGTTCATACCCCTCCCTGTCCCGACACCTGCACTGGCCATACACCTGCACTGTGTTTACACCTGCACGGGCCATACACCTGCACTGTGTTTACACCTGCACGGGCCATACACCCGCACGCTCCAAACACCTGCATATTCAGGTATATGTCATGCACAGCTCATACCCTCCACTGTCCACACACCTGTACTGTTCATATACCTGCATTGCCTATGACTAACCATGGGTGGCTACTGAGCACTTGAAATAGGGCAAAGGCAAATTCTGCACTTGAAATATATATTTAATATAATAAAACATTAAAATAATAATAAAATATATCATTAATGTAAACTTCACCTGTTCCTTTTTATTTTTAAAATATAATCTTTAAAATGACACATGTAGCTTGTGTAATGTTTACATTATGCTGCTCTCCACAGTCCAATGCACCTATAATTTTCAGTCATTTAGTCAGGATCCCACTCTGACTTGAAGAATCCTACCACAAAATGAGAAGCCTTTGCAACCAAACAGTCACAGTAAATCTTTCCAAGAATACTCTCAGTAAATCCCCTTGCAACAAAAATCCAGTCACCCAATGATGCGGTGCCATCTCTTTTTGGCCCCACATATACCAGTGTCCCTCCCAGAGCTGGGCTGAGTAGACCCTCAGGAGGGTGGCGTAGCACAGGGTTCTCTTCTTCTCACTGCACCCAGGTTCCCTCCCAGAGGAGCTGCCGTTCTCAGGGGTAACACTCGTGTCTCTCTTCTCTCCAACTGACTGAACTTTCATTCTACACCAGCTTATTTTTCCAACTATTAATAGAATAAAGGCAGTTTGCTTTAAAAAAAATTCACACATTATTTATTTAGCAATTTTCTGAATGAAGTAATCAATTACTTAACCAATATTGAGAATCTACTCTGTGCCAAACACAGGGTACGGACTGGGACTACAGCTGTGAACCAGTCAGGCACAGCCATTGCCTTCATGCAGAGTGAAGCAGTTACAGAGCAGACCCAACTTGGGTCCAAAGTATGGCTCCATTCTTTACCGGCCATGTGATCTGGGATAATTTTAAACTGCTTCACTTTTCTCACATGGAAAACAGGGATTCTTTGGCAGAGAGGCTGTGAAGACTAAATAGCTTATATATGACAGTTACAAAGGAGCCTACCTTCGAGCTGGCTCCATGGCAAAAGGTAGGGGGATGTTGGTGGTAGAGACATGGGCACTGACAATGGAAACAAACAAATGATTCAGTCTAAACTCACTAATTTATCCTGCTAAAATTATAGTCCCAAATCCCAGAGTGGTCTTTCTAAAATGCCAATCTCATCATAAAGTAAAAAGAAGTGTCTTTTTATTTAATAAACATCAGCAGGGCCTAGCCTAGGTGGCACAGTTCATAGAGTACTACACTGCAATGCTGGAAGTTACATAGCTAACCGCAGGTTCGGATCCCAGACCCAGTCAACCTGAGACATGAGACTGAAATCCCAATGGGCTAGAGTACTGGGAGGAGAGTGGCAGTGTAGCGAGGACCGGTCTCTCTCTGTTTCTCACAAATGAATGAATAAAATAAATAAACTATTGAAAATAAAATAAAGAAAGTTAAAAATAATTCAGCTGGGGAGAGACCAGCAGATAGCATAAGGGTTATGTTGCTGGATTCCCACGTAGTCTACTGCAGTTCGAGTACAGGACCCGGTGGCTTAAAACTCATACCAGGCACATGTGCATGTGTGCCCAAAATCCTGAGAGGAGAATGGAGGAGAAGGGACTGCAGCATGGCCATCCCCAATTTCTCGCATTCTGTCTCTCTGGTGAGTGCAAACACTCTATAGCAAAAATCTCTCTAAAAAAATAAATAAATAAAAATAATTTAAAAAATAAATGACTAACTTAGTTCATAGGCCCTCGATACTTTAAAGATAAAAACCAAATTTCTTAACATAGCCACTAGAGCTTACTGTCTAGGCTCTGGCTCCACCGGAGCAGCATCCCCCATTTCCAAAGTACCAGCCAGAGCAGTAGTTGAATGCTTGCACATGGTAGCTACTCTGGCAATGGTTTTTAAATTAAAGTTTATGTTAGATTGTCCAGTTTTTTTGACATTTATTCATCTACTTGCATTCATACCTCTACCTCAAACAATATTCCAGTAAAGGAGTATCTCAGTGTTTTTGCAGAAGAATTGGAATTAATAGTCTCGAACCCTTGAAGATGATAGTATTAGTACAAACAGATGCTTTTTAAAGACCCTTTCTGTCATCATATTATCATCAATACTGAAATAAGGCTTATTTTTATTATGGTAAATATAGGATTGAGGGCCAGCAGGTGGTGTGGTGGTTAAGGTGCTGGATCGTGGTTCAAGTCCTGGATCTGGTAGCTTGCTTTTTCAGGGCTGGCAGGCAGAGTGGTGAAGGTGCTAGACTTCCACATGGCCAGCTGCAGTTTGAGTCCCAGATCTGGTGGCTTGCTTTCTCTCTCTCTGTCTTTATGGTCAAATTGAATAATAATAATTAATAAAATTAAATAAATATTTAAAAAAAAAAAAAAGCCTGAGTACCCTGACCCTTTAGTTGAGTCAAAGAGGTAAAACCAAGAAGGATTGCTTGGGAGTAAACCCTAAAATACACTTCTTTGATTAGCTTCTGACACATTCTATCCTGGAGATCCATGGATGGAAGCAAAGAATAATAATAATAAATAAATAAAAATTCCCTGCAAAAAAAAGCCACCTATAATTTCTACAGAAGCAGTAAGTAAGACAGATAGTATCCAGTGAGTTCTGAAATGTCAGGAGAACTGGAGGCAGCACGCCAGAAGCATAGAGTCTTAGACTAGGGAGGATATCACAGACCATCCACCACAAGCCCCCAGAGCCACAGTCCCTTCTATATCACAGCACTCCCGCAGCTTCCTTTACTGCCGTCCTTCCACACAGGGGCCTGGCTCCTTACGAGGCTACTATTTCATCGTTAGAGTCCAGATGATACCAGTCTCTCTCTCTCTCTCTCTCTTCCTTCCTTCCCTTTCTCTTTCTCTCTCTCTCTCTCTCTTCCTTCCCTTTCTCTTTCTCTCTCTCTCTCTCTTCCTTCCTTTCTTTCTTTCTTTCTTTTTCCTTTCCTTTCCTTTCCTTTCCTTTCCTTTCCTTTTCCTTTCTTCCCTTCCCTCCTTCTTTAAATTTGCTAGAGTAGACTGAGAGAGAGAGAAAGTGAAAAACCAAGCCCCACCCCCACCCCTCATGGAGGGTGGTCACACTGCAATCCCTTCTCCTCTATTTCTCCTTCCTTTTGGATTTTGGGAATGCATGTACATGTGCCCAACTTATTTCTCAAGCTGCCAGGTCCAGGAGTCAAACCATGCAGTCAGTCATGGGAACCACCACACCACTTCCTGTCCCCTGAGTTGTTTTTTTTCCTTAGGTTTATTTACCTGGAATTTCCATCCATTGGGCCTAATTTTTAACATCTTAGGTTATGAAAATTTAAATTAAAGTCTCTTGTGGCCCAACAGTCCCCAAACACTTATTCTCAGGAGCTTCATCTATCTTGAGATCTTAGTCATAATCTTCTCCAGGTGTTTCCAATGTGCACAGTCTCTGAAGTTTTTCCCATCTCGGCCCTCCTCTCAGGATGCAGAATAGTCTCTTAGTGTGCCAAGGTGGCAAAGCAGCACTTCATACATCATCCGACTAATGAGGAATAATCAGAACATTCATTGTCTATGATCTATTTGTCTATATTGAAGCTGAATATCACATTAACTTTTTTAGCAGCCATTTCGCACGCTTGGTGCCGACTAACAGCTTGTGGCCAACTATAATCCTTAGGAAATTCTTACTGACCTATTGCCAGAGTAGAGGTTCCCCACCTTGCAGATGTGCTGGTGTGTGTTAATCTCAGCCCTCGCTGTGGATGGACGGATAGTCAAGGGCCGGTCGTAAACTTCACTTTATTCAACTATAACATGGCCCTAATTATACTGTGCCATGCTGTAGAAAGCACCATGCCCTGGTAAACATGTGCTTCTCTTCTAAAGACCGGCCTATTTATAGCCACAATCTTCTCAAAGGACCTGAGGCGACCAGGTGGTGTACCTTTCTAAAAACTAACGTTTCATCTACAACCTTCCCTTCCTCTAGCTCTACTCTAATCCCTGCTTCCAACAGTGAACACCCACCTACTTAATTTTCTTTCCTCACACCCAGGTTGGCTGAGCTCTGGCCTTTTCTTTTTCTGGAACAACTGGTGAGGTCAAGAAACCCAACCCCTCTCCCTGGACCAGAGCCCCGCCCTCTGCCCCTGGATGGCCCTGTTTTGAAGGCCAAAGAGGGAGAGGAGGGCTCAGGCTGCAGCTCCCTGTCGAGCGTGGCACTGGCCTGCCTTATCCAGTGGGACGGCAAAGGGTCACTCTGAAAACTGCCACTCCTGGGACTTGGCAGGTGGCTGCTGGTGGCTCTCCACCGGGTTTTCCTTCTCGCTTTCTCTCTCTCCACAGATTACCTCCGAAGAGGATTCTGCTGCTACAACCTCTTCATCGCAAGCCGTGCTGCACTGCTCACAGGAGGGTAAGGAGCGGGGCCATACTTCCCGATTCCTGTCTGTGGACCTGGGGTGGATGTGGATGTGCGGGTGGGCGAGCGTGGGGAAGTCTAAGTGTTTGTGGCTGCAGAGCTATTTCACTGAAGGGAGCCTACAGCCGGGGCAGATTGCTCATGGCCCTGATCTAAAGTTGAGAGGTAGACAGCATTTTCCAGAAAGCTGAGAAATGCGATGGATCTTAAGACGGTCACAGTAACAGAAATGCAGGAGTGACGCCCTATAAAAGTGAAATGACTTGTAACTTCTAACGGTACTTTTAAGTCTCTGAAGTTTAAGAAATGTATTCTTCCACTATTTTAGAGAGAATAGGAGAGAAAATTCTTAGGCTTTGTCACAAAGTGGAAAATTGCATCTTTATTTTAAACCAGAACCATTTAAACATTTAGTACCTGATCAGCTTAAATAAAATGTGATCAATTTGAACTAAAATGGGTAGCGCAAAAGTCAAACAGCTCTGAATTCCCAGAAAGACAGCCTGGTGACAAAACAGAAGTCCTCCCCTATGAAACAAATCCAAAATTGTTATTTGTGTGAAAGCCAGGGTTTTGTTTTGAATGTGCACATGTGGTTCAATGGATATATGTTTTACGTTAAAAATCATGTTGGAAACGAAATGGTAAAGTGGAACCCTCCCCTAAGTCGGACTTAACTTAAAATGGCAAGCAGCAGAGCCAGGAGTGTTTCTATTCCTGGAGGGCAGGCTGACGAGCCCCGACAGATGCAGCGACTGGAATGTGGCAGGGACAGGGAGCAGGCACAGCTGATTCGCCCCACTGGCAAGAAGACGTTCTGGGATCCCAGCTCATTCTGGCACAAGAGTGACAGTGACACTTTAGCACACATGGCTTTCCAGCTTGCCCTGTGTGGAGTCTCCCAGGAGGCTAGGGTGGAGGGCAGCAGGAAGGAGAACGTTCTTCAATATAAAGACACTCTTTTCTATAGCACTTCGAGGAAATTCCATCTGGCGTCAATCTGGGGCTAGAAGAACCCGATTGAAGAGCAATACTTTCACGTGGGCTTGCCCACTTAAACATGAGGGGTAATTAGGTTAGCACTTCCCAGCAACATTATTCTTAGTCCACTGGTTCTGGATCTATTTGGGGTTATGGGCCCTTTGGAGAGCCTCATGAAAGCTCCGAGGCCTGCTACTGTAAAGTTTACATAAACATGTATGCACAATACATTTCAGAACATTCCACGGGACTCGTGGACCCATCTGAAACCCATCCAGGTACCAGGTAGAATCCAGGTCACCCAGATACTCCTGAATTTCAGATAAACCATGCATCAGCCTTTAATGTGAGCACATATACATACTGCCTGGGACATACTTACACTAAAATGGGGTTGATGGTTTATCTGAAATTAGAATTTAACTAGACATCTCGTGTTCTATTTGCTAAATCTGGCAACGCAGACCTAGATCTATAGATCCTACCTGAAGACATCCTGTCTGAGATCTCCTCTGTCTGACAATGAGTAGATTCAAGGGTAATGGTTGAGCAAGTTGAGGAGAGAATGGTACAGCACCAGGTCTTGACTATTCCAACAGCAAACATCAGCAGTCAGATAAACTGCTACAAAATGTTAGGCCTGAAAGGGACGCATCTTCTCACTTAACAGATGATTAAATTAAAATCCTGAAAAATCGGATGTTTTGTCATAATCTATCGAATGGAAGAGCAGAATGAACACCACAACCTGATTTTCAGTTCTATGATGATCAAACACATTTCAGTCTAAGAATTTTTTATTTCCAACCCCTTTCTCCTTAACACACATGAAAAACTAGGAAAGACAAAGAGTCATTTTACTAAAACTTTCAACAAAACCAATAGTAAAAAATCTTTGCACCGAGTCCTGTGTCCTATATCCAGGCTTGAAAAATAAAACTATAGGGGGCCAGCAGGTAGCATAGTAGTTAAGGTGCTGGACTCCCACATGGCTAACCATAGATCAAGTCCTGGACCTGGCAACTTAAAAATCATGCTGGGCATGTGTCATGTGTGCCCAAAATCCCAAGGAGAGGATGGAGGAGAAGGGATTGCAGCATAGCCATCCCCCTGGGATGGGGAGTGATTTCTCACTTTCCTTCTTTCTGTTTCTGTCTCTCTCTGGCAAGCACATGCACCTTATGAAAAAAATCTAAAAGATAAAATAATAGTTAACTTTGTGAATACTGTCTGTATACTTTATAGATAAAAGCCAGACACAATTTCAAACTAATTGAGCCATATAAAATTGATAATAGCTCATTGTTGCAAACAAAAAAAACTAGTAATTTTATATTTCAGCTAACACTTAAAAGGAAGTGCTCAACTACCTGATCAACAAAATTATGCAAGTCCTCTTTGAACCTATTTATAGTCTTGGCTTACCCAACCTACTGAAGTTTCAAATCCTTACTACCCTTAATAAGATTTTTTTAAAAAATGGGATCAGCAGTTAGCATAATGGCTATGTTGCTGGACTCCCATGTAGTTGACCGTGGTTCGTGTCCCAGACCTGGTGGCTTAAAACTCACACCGGGCGCATGTGTGTGCGTGCCCAAGATCCAGAGAGGAGAATGGAGGAGAAGGGATTGCGGCATGGCCATCCCCCCTGGGGGGGGATTTCTCGCTTTCTCTCTCTCTGTCTCTCTCTGTCTTCTGGCCAGTGCATGCCCCCTATAGCAAAAAGCTCTTAAAAAAAAAAAAGATTTAAAAAAAAATCCACAGTATCGATGTGTCTATAATTTATTTTATATACAAAAAGGCAACTCTTTTATTTCAGTATTTGAATCTAGGAAGAACTATTTCATGTTATCTACAAATTCTGATTTTATCAACCTCAGCTCTAGTTCACTTGGTCTCTGTTGGATCATGTCAGACAAAGCTAACGTTGGGGCCGGCAGCTGGCGTGGTGTTTAAGGTGCTGGACTTCCACATGTCTGACCACAGGTCAAGTCACAGATCTGGCAATTTGCTTTCTCACTTTTTGTCTCTCTTCCTCTGTCTGGTCAAATGAAAAGATAATAATAATGATAAATAAAATGAAGTAATTTAAAAAAAAAAATAAAAAGAAAAGAAAGAGCTAACCTACTCCAGCTCGTATCCTACCCTAGAGATGTTCTAGGGGCCAGGGTTCCATCTGGGCTTGAATATTTGCTTTAATACCACCATACATTTACTTGTATGACCTTGGTCAAGTTTATTTTATTCATTCTTAATCTTAATTTCTTCATTTGTTTTATGATTTCTCTGATATGGAATTGAAAAAATAAAATTATGTAGGATACGTAACCCAGAGCTCAGCACACAGTAACTATTCAATCAATGCTAGCAATATAATTATTTTAGACATAGAGGTAATGGCTTACATTTAATACGTAATATAGATTCATGTTTGGTGATTTATATTTATAAATTAACTATTAACATACTTAAATTTGGCAGCTCTAAAAGATGACGAAAAATGTGCTGAATTACATAACTGTCCAGCCGCTTATCCGGTGTTGAATACGTGGCACTATCGTCCTTGAAATGGCCCAGAAGCCAGGATCTGCTGTGGGCAATGGAAAGGGGAGTGTGGAATTGCTTCTGTTACCCTTCTGCCCAGTTTGTAATGGGCAGCTCTTCCAGGGAGCCAAAAAGCTTTTTTGGGTGATAGTGGATGGAGCAGAGAGGGAAGGTGAATGCGGGGCCTATAAACAGGGAAATGGGATTCTCTGGGCTCTCTCCAGAGTATGGAAAGATCACTCCAGCAGCACAGGGGCCCTTCTAAAATGCTCTGCTCCCTACAAAGTCTCTTCTCTGACGCAGAAAGGGAAGGCACAGGGAGACACTGGCAGTGCCTCCAAATGTCTGCTCATCCTATTACACAACCTCAGCTGCTCTGTAGCTAGACGTGCTCTTTTTTCCAAGTGCTTCCTACTGCAGCAGGGACCATGTGAAAAATGCAAGCCACCAACAGCCCCGGGGTTGGGGTGAGGGCCTAGTAAAGTTCTTCTTCCCTTTGAGCACAAGGGGACAGCTTGGTCAGAGCTCCCCTGGGTAAGGAGGGAGAATCAAACCTGTTGTGGTTCAGGACAAATGGAGAAATAGACACACGCAGCTCAGCAAGGGTGCACCCCTCATGGTGCAGAACACAACCAGAGTCAAAGTCTTCATGGTGATTGCCCTGGCTGCAAAGCTTGGGGACCCTTTGGGCAGTTGGCCACAGGGCATTCACCCACAGAAGCTTTTCACTCAACAGTGAGTAAAACCCTTATCCAATTCTGAGTGAAAATACAAATTGAATCAAAATTTCTTGCTCACCATCTGGGTTATACTGCAGATTATATGCAACTCAATTTTGTAACAGCTCTTTGTCACAGACACATTTTGATTGTCATAGTGATCATCATTGGTTATCAGCTACAAGATGACCCGAGGTTGTAGAGTGAATTATTTTATCTATTATTATTGATGCTATTATTATCATTATTATTTTAATTTTGCTATAGAGCACATATGATCAACAGAGAGAGAGGGGAAAAGTGAGAAAGAAAGCCACCAAGTCCGGGACTTGAACTGTTGTCGGCCATGTGAGAGTCCAGCACCTTAATCACCATGCCACCTGCTGGCCTCTAGAGTAAATATTTTTTCATTGTAGGAAGAAAACAGTGAGAGTTTCTATACAAACTGCTGTTTATCACACGGTCCCATATGCTTAGTAAGCACTACTTACTAAGTGAGGCATTTTTTAAAATATTAAACTCTTTTCCAATCACCCTCTATTAGCCCATACAGACAACCTCAACATCTAGCACCATGACTAAATGGGTAAATAAAGATGAATTAAATGTTCCCACTTTCATACACACATGTATTTCTGTGTTCCCTTTTATAATTTCTCCTCCCCTTCTCTCTTTTTTTTTTTTTTTGGTGGGGGGAGGGTGATTGTTTTGCCCAGAAGATATGCATGCACATGAGAGAGAGAAGAAGAG